ATGTCTGAACGTCATTGTACAAGTCTTGCCGCAGGTTCCTGATTGGTTTTAGGTCTGGACTTTGATTAGGTCATTCTTGCTCTGGCTGTATTTTTCATTTCATTGTACTGTAAGTTAAACCTCAGATTCAAGTTTGTTTGTTTTGTTTTTTTTGCACACTCCTCAAGGTTTTCTTCTAGTATTGTTCTGGATTTAGCTCCTTTACCCTCCAAATGAACTTTGACCAGCTCAAGATGAAACTACAACATATTGCTGCCACCACCATGCTTCACAGTGAGGATGGTGTGTTCAGGATGATATGCAGTGCTTAGCTTGAAGACCAAAAAGTAAAACTTTGGTCTTTTCTGACTATTTCATGTTTTTTTTTGTGTGTGTGTGTGCTTTTTTTCTTGTTTTGAATGCAAAACTGTGAGTTATTTTGATGGATTCTCCCATTTGAGCTGAGAATCTCTGCAGCTCCTCAATTGTTGAGGAGCTGCAGAGATCCTCAACTATTCTCTATAAGTCAAAGTGCCCAAGGCCCTTATGGCTCTTTGACTGACACCCTGATGAATGCTTTCCTCTTTTTGCCTGTCAATTTAGATTAACTACGTTTTGGTAGATTTTTGGTTGCACTATTGAGTAGAGCTATGGGTGATAATCTAACTATTAGGTAGATTTAGGTTGATTGAGACCAGAATCGCAACATTTGTTACGTTTTCATCTGGTGCGCTTGCTTTCGAAGAAATAACTGAAGAAGAGATGAGTGCAACTTCCTTCCTTCCTTCTTTTGGCGTTTGCAGAATTTCTTTTTTTTTGTCTTTAGTAAACGAAAGTGAGTCATTTCTCCCATTGGCTCTAAACTTGCCTGGTTGTTTTGGTTGTATTTACCCATAATAACCTCTGTAGAGGAGGGCACTCTAGAGAATACTCTGCTCTATAGTTCTTTTGGGGTAGTCTTCAGTCCGCTTGGCATTCACACATGCCTTTGATCTGTGCCAGAGTTCATATCAGCCGAACAGAGATCTAGGTTTTTCTGCGGACCAGAGTTAGCTTTTTTTTGCTTCGCATCAGTTTCTTTACATATTTACTCCTCCCCAAACGAACCACACTTACTAAGAGGATGAACTAGTTTTATGAAAACAGACTTAATAGGGCTGATGTGAATGCAGTCTAAATTACTTAAACAAATGCACTCTTCTTTACTGATAAGGTGACTTATGAAATTTAAACAGGACTTAATAAGAAGTCCACTGCGCACACTTCCACTTTGGAAAACATCCGTGGCTTTGTTTGGCTCTCTCAGATAATCCCATTGAAACACATTGAGATTTGTGACAAAAAAGGAAAGTTTAAGGGTTATGATTACTTTTGCAAGATGTTGCAAGTTCTAAGATGATATTAAATGGTTCAGTTTTTATTTTTCATAGATCTGGACCAAATCATGGATTCATTTCACAATTTCTGCTCATTATCATTTTTAAGTACATACAAATGGGGAATTGCAACATTTCAGACTAGGATCATAGGTTTTTTTCCTAACTGTATTTTCTTTTTCTCTGTTTTGCTTCCCCCTCTGAACTGTGGGTAACAGCTCACTAAACTTCACCAGCTGGCCATGCAGCAGAGCCCCTTCCCCATTGCACATGGCAACCAGGGCTTCCAGGGTAGGTGGATCTAATGCTGCAGAGCGTTTTCCACTTGCATGTGTTGGATTTCTTCTCATTGGACTTCCTTTTTCTTCTTAAAGCTGGGATGGATGCCTCTGCACAAACTGGCTCTCATGAGCTAACCATTCCAAATGATGTAAGTATTTTCTGCAGGGTAAACATTACTTTTTAATGTCATCGGGGGGTTTTTTGTCTTACCTCTCCTCCTTCCCTAGCTCATCGGCTGCATCATAGGCCGTCAGGGTGCAAAGATCAACGAGATACGCCAGATGTCAGGGGCCCAGATAAAAATTGCCAACCCGGTGGAGGGCTCGACTGACAGGCAGGTCACCATCACCGGCTCCCACGCCAGCATCAGCCTGGCCGAGTATCTGATCAACGCTCGGTAAGAGTGCAGGATGAATGTTACTGCAGCAGGAAGGGATTTTATTGTGTTATTTTTTTCAGCTTATTGCCTTTTTAATCCGACTTTACAAGGCTTCAGTTTTCTTGTGTGTGTTTAACCACCGGGTTGCTGTCGAACATCTGACACAAGCTGAGAAAAACAGGAGGTTTTATAGAAGGTAGCTCTGGCCTTAACCCAGCTGCGTTGCGGATATTGCTGAACTGTTTCTTTCCATCGGAGTGTGTGAACACACCGCTTCAACCTTCCTGTTGTAATGCAGCTACTGCCTGCACACTCTCTTCCCTTTAATGAGTTCATTGCTGCTGCAGACTATGTGTTCTCCTGTGATGTAAATGAAGGCTGGAGAGTATTTAAATTTATACAGCTTAACTAGAGAGGCAACTCCGGTGATGTACTAATACTGGCAGGGAATAGATAATGTGACGTCTTCAGATAAATCATGCAAAACTGAGACAATTCACTGGAACTTCACTAATCTATCAGCAAAGTTAAGGCTGCAGCTGACCATTATTTTAGCAGCTGATTATTCTGTCATTCTTGTGACTGTTAATGAGATTAAATAAAACCAAATTGGGATATTATTCAAATTTTTACACATTGCTAGATGCAAATAAACAAATCAATTCCAATATAGCACTACTTTAATGAATAAAATAAATACTTCTAACATCAACATGTGAAAAACTAGGACCTTTCTGCTCAACTTAACATTCAATACAGTGTTGGACTGATTTGTTAATTTTTATTGGATTAGCCGGTTAATTATTGGTGCTGAATAAGCATTTGCTTCCATAATTTGAACTAGGTGAATCTAAAAATGCCTCATTCTTACAGACGGAAGGTTTTCCATCTGAAGAGTAAAGGTGTGTTCACATCAAACACGTTTCGAACAGCAGGCGCATCTGGTCTACACTCAAAGTTTAGGGCTCGTACGTGTCCAGCTCGGCGCATTTTAAACCGTCTGGAACATTTTGAGATGATAAACCTTCTTTGTCTGTAAATATGTGGCATTTTTAGCTTCCACGTTTTGCATTTCGAATAATCTACTGGACTTAAAATGTCTTTTCTTGTCTCAGGCTTTCTTCTGAAGCTACTGGCCTTGCAGCCAACTGACATGGAGGAGCTTCATCAGCATCTACTTTAACCCCTGCCCCAACTTTTTACCAAGAGGTCCCTTGTTGAACTTAATGCAAAAACCAAGTACTATAAATTCACAGCTTTCTCCTGCATTGGTTTAGATATCTACTTCAGTTGTAATTACACCATCATGCTATTGATATTTTATTTATTTATTATGTTTTTAAATTCTGTTGGCAAATAGTTTTCAAAGATCTTCTTCTGTTGTATTTTTCCTCTTATTTTACTGTATATCTGTAAGATCTTGATAAACTGTAAGTATAATGTTTTAGAAAAATCTGAAAAGGCATAAATGTTTTTCTTACGTCAGATTTTTCTTAGAAAAATTGAAAAAAAGGAAGAAAAAAAAACCTCAATAACATAATAGATGGACTGTTCTTTCCCTTCTTTTTAAATATCTATTTATTTTTATTTAATATACAGTTCCTTGTACAAGTAGAGTTCATTAATATTTGGCATTTGCTGTTTGAAGCTGTACTTCCTGAATGAGGCATTGTGGGTCTAACGGGTTTTAGTGTGCGATAAGGAGCTGAATATGTATGCAGGAAAAAAACACTTTAGAAGTCTGAAGGTGATTTCTCTTGTTTAGTGCGGGTTGAAGGAACCTTTTAAGCTATATCATGTCTCACCTCTAACTTGCTCAGTAATCGTTTTGTGTCATTCCTGTGTTTCCATCCGTTTATTTTGTTAATCTGGACATTTGGAGCTTTGTGTTGATCTGATAAAGGTTGGTGGACCTTGGATCGCCAGGAATGAGCCTGGACGCGAGGAAAATGTTTTTCTTTTCTCAGAAATAACTAAGACCATAGTGGTGGTGTTGATGATAACATTGAAATATTTGTTTTAAATAGAGAAAATATTTTTTTTAACTGCAGGGCTGGGGAATGCTGCAAGGGGCAAAACTAAAAGACATAATGGTCTTTATAAGTATATTAAGCTGAAGTATTAAATTATGATTAACTAGAAGGAGAACTATAGAATTAACACTAGTTTCCTGCTATCCTTTTTTGCCTGGGTCAGATTTTATTTTTTTTATTCTTTGCAGGATGAAGAAACTCACGTTTTTTGTGCACGTTTTCAAACTATTGTAGATCTGGGTGCAATTAAATTGTTGAAGAATTGAGATGCAAAAATAAAAGATGTGAAATGCTTCAACAGTCCTTTGTCATTCCTGTACAGGTGCATTAACAAATTAGAGCATTTTAATTTCATTTACTATTCAAATGTTTATAGATTTTATTTATAAACATGCACTGACTATATTTAAGAAAGGAGAATTAATTAGGTTTTACAGTAGTTATTTGCAATCATGTAATACAACTCACTCAAAATTATCAAGCTGTGTGCAGCTTATACATGGTAACATTTTTGATTTTTGAAAACTTGATTTTTTTGAAGCAGTGAAATGAGTTTGCATACATTTTTTTAAGCAAAGTCAATTTATTGCACCTTAGTGTCTGTGTTTCACTCTAAGAATTTGTGAATAAATATAGTTTAATAACATCATAGTAGTAATTTGTTCCATGTTGTCTAAGGATTTAGGCCTACAGTAAGATAAAGATAGCCTGAGCACTGAACCCTGTGGTGCTACACATAACCCTGGAATGTGAATAAAATGATTTACATGAAGAAACTAGAGTCTATCAAACAATAAGTATGAAAGCAATAAATGCTAGAAAAGCATAACTAACGATTCTGTAGAAAAGTTTAATTTTTTAAAGACTAATTCCTGAAATAAATGCAGCTTTTAGCAATTCTCATGTATTGTTTTTCTGAAGTGTAAAGAAAAGACATTGCAACATTTTGGACATGCTTAAAGTCATTGAAAATAATTTATTTCTCATTCAGCTGTCTCACGTGACACAGCAACAGAATAAACTGCAGCTATAATAACATGGCCCCTTCTTTTTAAAGATCACACATTTGTTTTAAACCAATACGTTATTTACTCTTGCTCATTATATTCTGCATTTGATATAATTTCTATGGTACTGGTACAATGTGCAATGCTGTATAAAAACAAAATAGACACTTAAACCCAACGGATACTTAGTTTTCTAGAAACCATGGAGAAGTGCTCTATTATTTATTCAGCTTCTCCTGCAGTCACCTTAAAGGGTCAAAGGAAAGGTTGAGGTTTTAAGAGGCCTGCAAACATCATGAAGTCCAAGGAGGCCTTTTGGTTCATTACAAAAAAAAAAAAAGATCACCTCCTAATTTACACGTTAATTAATATTAAAATTTAACTGAGTACTACTGTGACTTCTTTTAATGCTTCTTTCATGGAACGTCAACGTAAAGGGAAACTTTCAAACTTGGAAGTCTTTGTGCACCCTACCAAGGTGATAAGCCCTTTGCTAACCCTGTAGTTGCATAAAATAAAAAATAAATAAATAATAAAAACAGCCAAAATGTTCCATTGAACTTTGTGTATCTTCAATAACAGTTCATTGGGTTCTTCATATCTTAAGAACTGGCTGCACAGAATTTAATTTGAGTAACATGATCTAGTAAGGTTAAAACTAAACTGTTATTCTTGTGAATAACAAGGTCTGTAGGAGGTCAAAAGTGGAGAACATGTAGTTAGAAGCAGTGTATGTTTAATTGTTACAACTTTGCAGCTGCTTAAGACTAACTGCGGCTGTTCAACAGAACTAAACGACTTCAGTTACCATTAGCAGCTAACTGTGTGAGTTATTAATGTTAGCGGTGAATTTTTACAAATGAGGAAAAATGGATTCGATTAAAAATAAAAATCTTGCTTGATCAAAATTGATTTTTTTTGTGATATTGGTCAACAAGGACAAAGTGCAGTGTGGAAAAGGTTTAAGTTCTTTAGTTTATCTCACAGACCTTTGGGTCAGCAGGCCCAAAAGACTTGCGTTATTATTAGCAGCTAGCATAGTGTGCGTTGTAATAAATATTAGCGCCAAAGTTTGACAGGAGATAAGAATTGGTAAAAATAAATTTAAAAAATGGCCTTGCCTAAACAAATCAAGTTGTTGGTTGTGATATAAGTAAGTTGAAAGTGCTGTAATAGAAGATTACAGAACTAATAGTTCTGTAAAAGTACTTTACTTAGTTAAGAAATGGTTCAGTTTGCATTAAACTTTAGAGCCAAATGCTTACAAGTAAAAATTTGCAAAACTTAAATATATATGTTCTTCCTTCAACAAATCAGCTTTCGCTTGAGAATGTTATCAGCAAGGACAAAGTGCAAAATTAAAATGTTTATGTTCTTTAGTTCAGCAGACCCCTAAGAAATAAGAAAAATCACTTAGCATTAGCAGCTAGCACCGAGCGTGTTGCAAAATTAGTGCCAAATTTCACAAGTGAGAAAAGTTCGTGAAATTGAAATGAAAAATAATCAGTTTATCTTTATAAATGTGATGATGGTCACCAAGGACAAAGTGCAGTCAGCATTAGCAGCTAGCACAGGTGCATTGGGATTAATAACTTTGAAGAACTGGTGAAAAAAGGAAGATATGTTCCTAAAATGTTTTAAAGCAATAAAATAATTTTTGGGGGGGAATTTAGCGCAGTTTGAATCAGACTTGGGGAAATAGAAAACACAAGATTCTGTGCAGACATTTTATGTTTCTATTGCCGAACAGCGTCAAGTTGAAAATGGTAGAGGTGCAATTTGAGTGAACCCTAAAGTCTTCCTTTTTCTTAGCTGATTTATTAAACCCAGTAAAAACCGTATGCGTGTCATTAGTTTAAAACTTAGTAAGAGTTCAGAAATAATATTGAATTCCCTGTAAGTGTTTTCATAATTCATTCGTTGGATTTTTTTTTTTTTCTTTTGTGATGCCGACATTTATTAAACAAAAAGTAGATAACTGAAGACTTTCAGGATTAAAAAAGTGTAAACTTTCACAAAATAGAAAACAGACACATTCAAACCATAAATTATAAACATGTAGTCATGCATTTGTTCACCGGGCTGCATACAGTTTAATCTTACATGTTATCTTACATATAAAATAAAGTTAGACATTTCTTGTGGTTCTTACTGTCTATTTACATTATTTCTCATTAGTATTTGATGCATTAGAGTGTGGAGAGTCATGGAGGATGCTCCCAGAGTGAGGGTTAAAGTGTTTTAAGGACTACTTTAAAGAGTGTAGTATCTTCTTGTGCATGCGTGCACATCTAATGATGGGTTTTTGCTGAACTGGCGCAGTGCCTAAGGTTAACGTGGTAACTATGTTTCCTAAAAACAACCCTACTTAACGTAAATGACATTTAACTGATGTCACAAGCTGCCAAAATTACAGTATCTGATTATATTTGTCGTGTTTACGCCAAACGACCTATGTCATCTGATACAGGTTTACCCGCCAACAAACTTATGAGACACCATAAGCTACTTGTCATTGTCTGAGTGTTGTTGTAGGTGTGGTTCTTCATGGCAACAGTAATGTACTGCACTGACAGATTGGTGCGCCTGTGTTGTTTGCTCATTGTAGGGTGGCCGGAGGTCTTTGTTTTGCGTGTGGTGATCTATGGAGGAGGTCCTGTGTTGGGAATCTGTGGAGACCCTTGATAGGGTTGGGACGGAGACACCCATGCTCCGGCACTGGGAGGTCGACTGGGCTCTCCGCTGCCTGACTGGTCCAGCTCGACGCTGTCGCAGTCAGAATCATCACACAAGGCTCGGTTCTGAAGAAAAAAATTAGTCACATGCAGGATATATGAGGAAAATGATATTCAGGAATTTTGAGTTATTTTTGACTAATTCTAATTTGAATCTTCCCAAATTATATGCTATGTTGTCTGGATTACACATGATCCCGGTTTATATGGATTAATTTAGCAAATTTGTTGTTGGGAGGGAACAACAAAAGCTAATTTATCCTTTTTCTGTAAAATGCTCTGTAATAAGTGGAAAGAAGCTTGATCGGAACGCAACCTAAAGCAAAATAGTGTCACCTCATGCTGAATCACTGACTTCTGAATCAAGATTTTAAAGGTAACAGTGTCACAATGACTCATCCACTATATTAAAATATTCTCCTGAGAGTAGTTGTAAAAAACTCTCTCGCTTGGTGGAATAGATACTGTGGTTTGTATGCTGAAAATAAAAAAAAAACCTCAATTTCGTACTTAAGTTTTAAAAAAAGAACTTCCAATAGAGCAAATAAAGTAAACAGTCATTAATTTTACCTTGTAATCCCAGTTAAATCTACATAAAATGTCTTTATGTAGACAATTAACCAAGTCACATCATAACTGTTCTCTTCTGCTAAAATATATATCATAATGCAGCACTTTAAATATTATGAACAGCTACCATAAAGTTTCCAGTTCTGCTTCCACATTAGAAGCAGACTAACTCATCTGAATGTGCAAAAGAAACAGACGTACATTTTGCTGCATTATGACCAGCTCAGCAGTTTTATTTGGTTCAATAAATAATATTCTTTCTCTTAAACCAACCCAGTGTAGCTCTGTTCATAGGTTCATGAATGCAGATGGGAATTTTGATTGTGTATTTTGCAAACTGTTCTTTCTTATCTGATCTTTAAAGCACGGGGGCAACGTTTTATAACTTAATCTTGTTTTAAGCTTCTCCAAAACCTTCACCACAACCTGTCTGTGCACTAATGATCTCTAAAAAAAACTTTTTAAATCCATATTTAAAAGATGGATTTAAAATATTTGTTATTTTTTTTTCAGTTTTGGCAGTTGGTTGCACTGAATTTTTTTGTTGTGCCTGTGAAACTAAAACTTCTTTTCTTGAGTCAGTCGTGTTGCTTTTTTCTCTTTTCTGAAAGAATAACAATAACTGACACTGCAAACCTCTTTGGAGTTTCTTTTACCTCATTAGGATTCTGCCCGGTGTCCAGCTGAGCTTTGCTCTGGCCCGGAGCGCCATCCCTCTCCGACAGGCCGTCAGACGCCTGCGCAGGATCGGTGTTGTCTGCTGGGATCTCTGACCCCTGGGAGAGGAGGTCGTCGCTGCGGTCATCCAACCTGTCGTCCGTGTTCGTGCTGACGACGTCGGGCGTGCCGCTGTGAGAGTGGTCAGTGGTGTGGCCCTCCTCGCCGTCTGACACCGAGAGGTTTTCAGAGCTGAAGGTGGAAACCGACTGGCACTTGGTGATGCTGGTCGGACGGCTACAGAAACAAATAAAAAAAAAATTTAAAAACCCTAAGCTTGAATAAACTCCTGTTTCTGAAAACCTAACAATATGACAATCTGTCTAAAGAAACCAATGATATTAGATCAATATTTACTTTTAAGAAAATAATAAAATGTAATATTCTATCAAAGTATATTGACTCAGTATTATTTAGAAGTGTGGCAGTTTCACTGTATTTATCGTAACAATAGAAAAAATCAAAATCAGCTGCTTCTGCCCCAAAGTTACAGACAGCGACAGAAAGAGCCGTCGATGTCAGAGGAAAACAAGTTTTTGACAAAAACAAAATTAACTTGGAGAATAAACAAATCGGTTTCGACAAACTTCACATCTGTAATATTGATCAAATAAATCCGTTACATTTACATTGCCTGTTTTGTGTTAAGAGATGTATCTATGTGGATGCTTAGCTGTTTATGATTGACGTTTGAGACAAAGGGTAGATTATAAAACGCTTTTTTCTTCCAGTTACTACTTTTCACTCAAAACTGTTGTTTATATCAGCATGTAACATGCTCATTTTGAACTGTAATTCGGGGGTGTCAAACTCGCTTTGATTTTGCGTCATATAAAGATCTTGAATGTCCTCAGAAAGCTGTCTGTGTGTGGTAAGGAGTTCTGATAAAACCTACAAACAAACTGTTGAAATATTACTAAGTTGTTATGTCTAGATAAAATGAGTACTTCCAGAAAAAATAATGTTGAACATCCTTTCGCACTGATGTACTTTAGTAGGATAAAGCTTCTTTGAATTTATTGCTAAAATAATATTCGGGCACACAACTATTTACTTTTTTCGTGACCCTCTGGAGTCTCGAGGGCCTCATAAGAAGCTACAGCGGGCCGGATTTGGCCCACAGGCCTCGAGTTTGACACCTACTGAAAATGAATGAAATAAAGAAAGAAATAAAATCCTGGGGAAATGATTCTTATTTCTATTAATAAATCCGTGTCAGAGATGGAGTGTGGCTTGAGGGAATTTTCCAGTGACGAAGGACAGCAAGTTACTCACCGTCTCCGTGGCAGCTCAACCTCACTGTCAACTTCACCCTCCTCCTCTTCGGATGAAACTCCACGCCTCTGTAGGAAAAACCAGAAAAATGCACAAATCACAAAACGCTCGGAAGGCACTCGGTGCCCTTTGTAAAGTGACACAGTAAAAAAATTAACAGCAATAACGTGGAACTAATTAAAAATGTATCTTCCAATTTTATTTCCAAATTAAACATTTAATTTTCAAACTATATTTTTAGGTTCATAGCTAAATATTCAGCTTAGTCACTAACAGCTCCAAATTGTATATTTATTTGATAACTTATTTAGCTCAAAATTGAATATTGGAACTCTGACATTTATAACGAAAACATGACTTTGAATTTTGAACGCCAATTTTACTTTATTTTTTTTAATAAAATTATTAGGCCTGTGACAATAGCAAATGTTTCTGGACGGTAAATTGTCCCAGAAGTTATTGCGATAAATGATACTATTGTTGTTTTGAGATCATTTTCAAGTGACATAATGGTGATGATGGAATGATAATGCAAGAACACATTCTCAAAGGTCAATAAACTTTAAATTCGAATGAATATTTGACTTTGGAACTGGAAGAGATTCTAAATATCCAAAAATAAATACACAAAACAGCAAATAAAACCAATTATGAAGTCAAAATAGTCTGTCAAAGGAAGGACTGGAGTCTTTTTTCATCCAACTTTTGGTAGAAAGAGAAAAATGATAAATAATACAAATAGAAATGATTGAGTTTGTCTTAATTTCTCATGGGATTCATTTATTTATTGCTTATTGTGACTGGCCTAGAAATTATTGCCATTTACTTTTGCATCCCATAAGAGGCCTGTTGAGGAACCTGAACATTTAGTCAGACCTCTACCTGCTTGCGTGTGATAGCTGCCCTGTACAAAATGGCTGAAGGTGTCAGGTGCTGAGTCCCGACGCCCCCGGAAGCCCCCCGAGGTATCCTCACGGCGCTGGCTCCTTCATCCTTGTCGTCGCCGTCATGAGGAAGACGGGGAGATCCCAGCGACCCTCTTCCAGCTGCCCCCCTCCCACATGGCGAATCTGGGCTGCTGGAGAACGGGAACGACGCGGCGTCCTCGCTTGGAGTGTCGCTGCGTGGAGGCGTTTCCGTGAGGTCATCCAGACCCCCGACCCCGCCCTCTGATCCCCCCAACCCAGCCGAGGCGCTGAGGCTGCCCCCTCTCTCCAGTCCGCTGGCTGAGGGCTCCCTTTTCCTCTGGCCCTCTGCCTCCAGCGTGGTGCAGATGAGGTCTGGGCTGGAGGAGGACAGCTGCCTGTGCTGCTGCTCGTGGCTGAGACCCCGCAGGGCCGCCGCCGGCTCCAGGAGCTGCTTGGAGTTGTTGGTGGTGGCGTTGTTGGCCTGCGCTGACGTCTCCCTGTTGGAGGACGACTGGTTTGCTTTGAGACCAGCGAGGTCCCCGCTGCTGCCCTTGCCGGGCTTGCGATGCCGGGTTTTCACTCTCCGACATCGGCTGGGAGAAGTGGAGCTCCTGTTGGGGCAGGCGGGGATCGTGACTTGCATCACAGAGGAATCCATTTTGGGAAGGATTACCTCAGACTTCAGGATGTCTGGCCTAAAAGGGGAAAGAGAATCGTCAGCAGTTTCCCTCTTTCATCCACATGAATATCTACTCATTTCAAAATAGGGCTGGACGATATAGCTGAAAAGTATCCCGATATAAGCATTTCCTAATATCGATTAGTGGTGATTAGTTTTTTAATTGAATAAGTGAAATATTGTCAATCTAGTGACGTAACCATTCCTGATTTATGAACTGGCATATCAGGGCTATCATAGATAAGAAAAAAATGAGTAAATTTCCACCCAAAAACAAGGAAATTTTAGGACTTGAAAAGTCAAAAATTTACAAGAAAAAACAAGAACATTTTGAGATTAATACCAGGAAATTTTTAGAAAAAAATTTCAGTTTGAAAAGTCAACAATTTGCTCGAATATAACTCGAAAATGTTTAGATTAATTCCAGAACCTTTCTAGGAAAAAAAATTGAGTTTGAAAATTCAAATATTTGCTAGAGAAAAACTGAAATTTTGAGAGAAATACCAGAACTTTTCTAGCTCAAAGAAGTTCCTTGGAATCATCACATCGTTCCTGATTCTGCCTACATTCCCCAGAATCCTTTGTGGTTCTAGATCTGAATCTTAATCACTGAAACTTTTATCAATCTATTATCTATTGATAATGATCATGTGTCTATTGTAAGATGTAATGTTATTGACTTATCGCCCAGCCCTATTTCAGAATTACTCTCCTGTCAAATGCAGGCAGAAGCAGAGAAACATTGAACCTTTTTCCGGAGGGCAGTTTCTGTGGGACGTTTCTTTTTTTGATGAGCTTGTCCATGGAGTTGGAAGAGCTGCTCTGTCTTGAGCTGTGGTGCTTGAACAAACCCGGATACTTTTTATCCAAAGACTGTTCCCTCCTGAAAGGAAATGATCAATTCAAACCAAAATACCCGAGACATATTATTATTTTTTAACATCACTGTTACTTAAACATCCTTTAATACATTTATTTGTACCTTTGCAATTCTTTCTCTTTAAGCTCCAGCTGCAGCATCACAGCACTGAGCTCCATGTAAAGGTTATTGGCCCTCTCTAGTTTCCGCTCATAGTGTTCACGAATGTCCAAAGCATGCCTGAAAAAAAGAAAGAAGTGGTTCTTGTCATTGTGAATCTACATGAGAGAATCCAGACCCTCTTCAACCGACGAGCACTCAAGGCACTTATGCCATCTGCAGGGACAGACAAAGGAAGGGCATCAAAAAGTGGCATCAGAGGAAAATGGCTTCATGCAAAAAATATCCACTTTCTTGATTTTTTTTTTTTCCACAACTTGTCAAGTTACAATGCTAAAACGCATTTTATTATTTTACAAATAAAAATCTAAAAAAAGGGTAACATGTTCTTTTTTAATCAGGTCCTCAGGAAAAAAATCATTTCTAGGCATTTTTTTTTCAATAAAACATATTAAATGAATACTTATAGCAGGTAATGTAATACAAACTGTATGTTAGAACAGCACTTCCATAAATAATTTGTGTTGACAGTAAAGTCACGACCTCCAAAAGGCTGAGTGAGCTCAGCAGATAGAAAATGACTTTAGAACAACAAAGATTTCTACAACAAAAGCTCTTCTTCTTCACAACTTTGTTCACTAATATTGTCTAAAAACATCTGAGACTTTCACAAAACAGCTGGAATGATACTGAGATTAAATTGCACACAGATGGATGCTACTTATTAAGTGAGTGGCTTGTCCAGATGTCTTATTGCTCTTCATTTTAGATTTCAAAGGTACAATAATAAATACAATAATCACTTTTTTTGATTGCTTAAAAAAAGAAACAAAAACATATTTTTGTTTTTCTTTCACTTTAGGGCTAAAACAATGAAGTGGATTTATTGTGATGAATCGATTATTGAAATAATCATCAACTAATTTAGTAATCAGTGAATCATTAACTGGAGTATGTAGACTAAAAAAAAAGGTCATTTTCTGGAAAAAATAACGGTCAGATCAGTAATTAAGCCCAAACTTCACACATATCATACATTTTGGAGTTAAGATTGAAAAAAAGATAAAGAAACTTTGCCTGTAAATATGTTCTATCCAGAACTGCTTCAGTGTCACAGCTTTAGTTTCACCTGATTCAAATTCTTTAAAAAAAATAAAATGAAATAAAATCTCCTATTAAACACCTTCGGTGCTGTTAATCAGTTAATCCAAAAAATAATTAAGAGATTAGCCAACTCTGTATTGATGTTTAGTCAAGCAGAAAGGACTGAGCTTTTCACATGTTGAGGTTTGATGCATTTTTAGCCGTGGATGGATAGGACTGCTTTGTTATTGCATTTTAGGCAATAAAGTGTAAATTTTCTTATTTAGTAAAGGAATTGATTAGAATTTTGATGTAGTTCTAATACTTCATAAAAAAGATTTAAGTGGTGAAATTATTTCTTTTTCATCTGATTAATCGTCAGAATAATCGAATTGCTATAATATAATAATAATCTACTTCATAACCATAAACTACCTTCAGGTCATCTAACATGTAAGTCTGAAGTTTGCAGGCAAAAAGTAACAAAGGGTGGAAAAGTTCACAGGACTGTACACTTCCGTATATATTTTGGCAGCTCTTAAGATAAAATCTATGAATATACATGAGACAAACAAACCTGAGCTCCTCCCTGCGGCGGTTAATCAGTTCCTCGTCGAGCCGATGAAGACAAGTGCCCTCGGATTTAATCTTCTCAAAGTGCTGTTTCACCTCCTCTCTCCATTCAGCCTGATTAGAGCACATTTCTGTTCACCAACTCTGCACAGCTCACACTGCCTCTCTTGTGTGGCATTTCATTTAACTGATTACTTTGTGAGCCTGCGTGTGTGTGTGTGTGTGTCTGCTTATGTACATCAATATATAAGTGGTATGTGCAAATGATTGAGTATTTGCAGTCGACCAAAACAATAAACTGTTTGATTGAAACATTAAAGAGCCCACGGACTACATCCTTATAGTCCGTGTAAACTTTTGTCTGGAGAAGTACATGAATGCATACTAAAATCAATAAAAAGCAGAGAATACCTGAGACTTAAAGTATGTTTCCTGTGGGGTGGAGAGTACGTCAGCTGAGGCTATATCCAGATGAAGGAGGATCTGTCGGAAAGAGGGCCTATTTCTGGGCTTACAGTTCCTGCATACCCAAAACAGGAAACACAGCTGTGTACACGGTCCATGCACAGTAAAATCAATAAAGTCCTCAAAACTGCACACTAACACCTCCCTGTGCAGCCACTTTCAGAGCCCGACTCCACAGCCCTCATCATTAAAATCATCCGCACTGCTATTCATATCCAGGCTGTGCTCACCAGCACTGTCTGAGGAGGATCTTGAAGCCGTCAGGGCAGCTCTCAGGGACAGGCAGCTGCAGGCTGTTGTTTCCCACGCCCCAGATGATGGCAGAAGAGTCGACATCTTTGTAAGGAATCTCCCCAGTTAGCATCTCCCACAGCACCACTCCGAAAGACCTGTAAGTTGAACCGAGATATAGGAGTTTTCACAGAAAGCACCATAGTTTAGGTAGTGAGTTAAAAAATCAAGCTTGCATGCCTTCTCCCTGTGGACCTGCTGTCATCTACACAAATGCTCTTCTCCATCAGAACCAACCAATCAATGCTTATGTACATGCTGCTCACACCCTCTGTCTTACTCAGCAGAGCCTGCTACGGTTGTTCAGGCTAGTTAGCGTGGCCACCGATGACAACTTGTAAACAATTGTCCTGTTGTTTCTCCACTTTTAGAATATTGAGCAGCATGTACACAAACTTTACTGACATCGCTAAGCTCCTCCTCCTGGCTCTGATTGTTTGTTTTTGACATTTCTTCACAGGACAATAGTAGCCCTGGAAAGAAATGAAGGAGCTCACGCTTTTCACAAATGATCTGTCTCATGTTAATGACATAATGCTAATTTGAACAAATACGTCAAAAGCATATTTTTGTGAAGGTTACAACTGTGGGTGGACAATATGCCTGAAAAACTTTTTTATAACATCAGCATTTCATAACGATTAGTTTTTTGTTTTAAAACTCTGAAATAATCATAAAAAAAAGTGAAAAGTTCACCATTCGTACCAAATATCCACTTTTTCTGACACTGGCTCGTTCCGAATGACTTCAGGAGCCATCCAGGCTACAGTGCCGGCAAATGACATCTTGGTGCTCTTGTCGCTGAGCTCCTTCGAGGTGCCAAAGTCAGAAATCTTCACCATGTCATCATGTGTGATCAGCATGCTAAAAACGACATGAAAACAATCAGCTGTGAAACGTTCTCCCCAAAAGACATTTCCTTCAGGCTGATGGATCCCGGTCTTTACTTTGGAGATTTCAGGTCTCGGTGGATGATTTTGTGGAGGTGTAAGTAGTTCATGCCACCCGCGATGCCCATGGACCAGTCAACCAGGAGGGAGGGGGTGATTTTACGGCCCGCTCTCAGCACCTCATACAGCTGGCCTTGAGCACAGTACTCCATCAGGATACAGTAACACGGAGCCTGGGTGCACACACCTCTGGAAGGAAGAAGGTCAATTCAGACAGTGAAGAAAAGGGAAGAACAATCAGGGGGAGATGACTGAAAGGTTGTCACAGCGACAGCTTCCTCACTTGAAAGTGATGATATTTGGGTGCTTGAGCTTGCGCAGGTGCTTGATCTCAGTCTCTTTGATATCCCGCACTTTCTTAACGGCCACTTCTTCTCCGTGCAGCTTCCCAAGGAAGACGGCCCCCTGCGCCCCGCTGCCCACCCACTGCAGGTCGGAAATTTCCTCAAAAGGAACCTCCCAGGACTCTAAACACCAACCAGCGAAAAAGCAAACTCGGAATTAAACATGAAACTGTGTAGTGCTCTACGGAATATCAATATTTAGAGGCATTTTTGTGGTAATTACTAATTTAGAAAAGAAATCACACAACTGGAGCTCTTTCAGATTTCATCACTGTAAAATCTCAAATCTAATCATATTTATTGGTCATTTATGTGATTCATCAATGCAAAATTGCCAAGACTTACAAGGTTCAAGGTGCAACATTAGTTTGAAAATAACCAGTCGTTGAGCTCCTTTTTTCTATTATCCCTAAATAAATTGCAGTGTGTCTTAAGGTCATTTTAGTTATGTTAAATCTCAATAAATGCACCTTTTCTGTCGTTAGAGAGCATTAGTAAACAAATAGTATCCTGAAGACCAATGAAACCACTAGATAAGTGATCCACAAATTTAAAAAGTATGGCAAGCAGAGCTCATAGTGAGTCTGGAAGAGATGCAGAGAATCTGTTGAGAGGACAAGGATTATTTATCCATTCAAAAAAAAAAGGGCTTTATCAGAGTGGTTAAAAGAAAGTCATTTTAAAAAGAAAAACATAAAATGCTCCACTTAGAAGATGTTCCATGTAAATCATGTGGGAACAGATCAGATAATACCTAAGTTGAGGTGTCTGGTTGACATGCAAAACACTTAACTGGATGAAATTAACACAGGAGATCACCTTTAACACACCATTCCGATGGTGACACACGGTGTGATCATACTGCATCACATCAAACAAAGAGCAAGAGCTACGGTGAAGTGGTTGATATCAAGACATATTCATATGTCAGAATGACTTAGTCAATATCCAGATTGAAATTCAGTTGAGAATTTGTGCTTTACAAAGTAAATTTGTATATTTGGCTCCACCAGATGTATAAATCTGGTGGAGCCAAAACCTAAAAGGCTGCAGCTGTGACTGCAGTGAAAGGGGCTCATGTACAGTAAGATAATGGCTCAGGCTGGCTCCATATGTACAGTACCTCACTTTTTTGGGGAGTTTTTCTTTTGTTTGAAAACTGCAAGTCATCTTCCTCTCACTTTACAATAATGTATTTCCTGTCTGGTAAGCAAATTGACAAAATGTGAAAAGGGGTCTGAACCCTTTTGCCAGGCACTAATAGATAAGATAAGCTTGCCAGCATGTAGGAAGTGGGGAGTGTTAGCAAATGCCAGGCCTGTGTTTGTATCTAAATGGTTCATAAGGATAATCACCATCACAAGATTCAACTTCAATGGCCAAACAAGAGGCTCATCAGCACTTTATCAAGCAAACCATTGCATTCGCGTCCATAGATAAGAAAATCACAGAGGAAAGCAACCCAACAATTCACTCATAGTTTAATCTGACTGTCATCTGTCAAACTGACATTGCTTAAATGGCTGTGAAGGCTTGGTCGCTAAAGACAGACTAGCCTGGGAGAATAAAAGAGACACACAAATCAATTCTTCATGATGTCCACTGATGGGTTGAGATCTCTTGGGAGCAGCAGCTGTGGAGGATGATGATGCACAGGATGCCCCCCCCCCCCACCCCCACCTGTTTCCCTCTCTCCACCTGACCAGCTGTGACGCTCACTGAACTGGGCTGACGGAAAACACAGACATGCTGCCAGATGGACGAGGTAAGCTCAGAAAGTAATGAGTAATGTGAGTTTTCTAATACAATAAATATAATAAAGTGGTGTTCTAATTATAGCTTCAGATTCAGTGGCGTAGATTTATCTTTTTCTGCCATATTTCGCCTTATCTCCACTACATTTCAGGGCTTCAGACGTTTTGCAATCGAATGATACAGTAACAACAGTGGTAAATTTTAAAAATATATCAAATACTTGAGTTAAAAACAGCAACTTGCTGTTTAATTTAATTGTGTGAGTTCCGGCTCAATTAAATGGCTACTGCTAATAATCTTTATGTTCATCTACAGAAGGTGGAGATTTAAATTATGTACTTTATTTATTCCGTCTACACATTACATGTTCAATTTCAGAGTGAAGAGTAGTGCACATGAATACATCAAACTTGGACTTTACTGAGTTGTTAGACCTGAAAGCCACATCTTTCAGGTCTAACAAAGCGGGTAGGGTTACAAAATCCTACCTAAGAGCTTTGAAAAGATATTTGCCACCTTAGAGATTTCTTCTGTTTTTACTTGAGGTCATAATTTCATATTTCATACAATCAAATAAATTTTAATACCAGACAAATATGACTTAATTAAATGTAAAAAGCCCTTTTCAAATCATGGCTTAATTTATTAAAGAGGGGGGGAAAGTCAGTGTAGAGCAGCAATTGCCCCCTAATCTAAATGATGGTTAATAACAGTTTATGATAACCATCAGGGAGTTGTTTACGTCACTGGCAAGGAACTCTGACCTCTGCCTCAACAAGTTTTTATTCATGAATGGCTGCTTAAAGTAATGGGTCCAGACTTTGAGTAGGTCATACATTTCTGAGCCAAAGGATTTGCTTTGGATCATTGTACTGTTGCAGAACCTATAATTATAAAGTCACAAACTGATAGACGGACTTCATGATGTACAGCTAAAGAGTAAAATTAATCGATTCATAGTGAGTTGTCCAGATCCTGGAGCGGTATAGTAGCCCCAGAGCATCACACTGCCACTGCCATGTTTGACTGTCAGTATAAAGATCTTTGTCTGAAATGCTCTGTTAAGTTTGAAAACAATTTTCACTTTTTCTAATTCAGCCAGCACAATCAAGATGTTTTGTTGTAAATGCAACCAATTTGTATCTCTCTTATATTTTTTCTCCTTTTCTTTCTAGTTGTTAGAATGAACTCTGACCTTAACTGAAGAAACACCTGCAGTGTTTTAGATGTTGTCTGGGTTCTTTCTGATCTCCTGGATGAGTCATTCATGAGTTATTTTGGTAGGCCGGCCACACCTGGGAAGGTTCCATATTTTCTCCATGTGTGGATAATGACCCTTACTGTGATGCGCTGAAGTGCCAAAGCCTTAGAAATGACTTTTTGGATCTTTTTTCACTGATAGATATCAGTTTGTTGTTGAATTATTTAAAGTATAGCTGCTTGATTGTGACAGATTTGTCATATTTTAAGGATTTCTTATATTTTTAGATCTGGCAGCAATCAGGTTTGTGTGAAGAGAGCAAAATTGAACTGAAGAACTTGAACAATCGCAGTTAATTAATGAAAACAGAAAACATTTCATGGCACTTTTTAACTGCTTGTAGGAACTCAACAAGAGTTAGGCTTGAAGAGAAACTTTTTCCTGAATTCCTTCACAATATTGAGTTTGTGTTTTCTTATGTGTAGGCTCTCCTTTTGCTAATTTGAAATGTCATTAAACTCTAAAGTAATCTGGAATCATTCAGTACTTCAGGTATTGGCTAATGTGTTTAACCTTGACCTATTTTTCATTCATTTGAATGAGTATGCGTTCATAAAAGAATGTAAAACTAGCACCAGTTATAGAAGCATTTTGTCTAAATGTATATTTGTTCAACATGTTTGATTTCCTCCTTTTGGAGCGGTCTCCGGTCCTCTTAGCATTCACACATTCAAATTGTGCCAGAGTTCAACTCAGTCGAAGTTTATTGGCAGACCAGAGTTCGCTTTTTGGGTCTGTATCAGAGTTTGATAGCGCATTCGTACCCCGCGCTTTCCAGGCAAACAAAAATGCCTGCTTTGATTAAAGCGGACTATCAAGGGCTGGTGTGAATGCACCCTTAGATTTCTTTGTTTTTGTTTGTTTTCACTTAGCTAAATAAATCTGATATGGTTTAACTATAAATTTTGCGTTTGATTACCCTAATTTTCAGTGCCAAATGATTTATGTATTAGTCCTTCCACTTTGGTTGATAAGTAATCATTTCAGAGATTATGATAAATATGTCTCCTCCTGAGAAATATACAGTACCTATAAATTAGCCATGTCCAAGGGCAAGAAAATTATTCAGACTTCGGATTGATCTTTGGATAATGAGGCTGATTCTGACAGTTATTGATATAGTTTGTTGTAGCTTCCTCATCCTACAGCTGAACTTAATGCACAGCACAATAAAATAATGTCAAATAACAAACACAGAGGCTGACAGAGAACAAGCGAGTCGTACCTTCATGGTTATGTTTGTGTTCAGTGGAGTAGGCTTTTCCAATCATGGTCCAGACTGGCTTCAGGCAGCCAAATAGTCCCTCCAAAAATCCTCCACTGCCTGACTGGAGCCTATTGTTCTCCGACTGGCCCCGAACAGCTCCAGCCTCCGGACTGTGGCCAGCTTCGGCCCCGCCGCTCCCGCCACACTGGCAGGCCTCATGTTCATGGAGTTTTAGCACGCTGTTGTCGAAGTGGGCTGTGCATCCATCGCTGGGGCTCGGGCTGCTGCCGCCTGGCGCCCCGTGCACGGTGGGTTCAATGGACAGTACGTTACGAAGCACACACTGTGTGGGGGTCAGGTCCGTTTCGGGGGTGCAAGCAGGGGTGTCTCCATCGAGTCTCCGATAGGGGGGTTCTGAGATGGGGGTGCTGAAGCCTGACAGGGAAGGGGAAGGGGCGCGGGGCTCATGGATACAGGTCCCACTCATCAGGGGTTTCCCCAACACTGCAGGTTAGAGAGGATGGAGGAGCAAGAGGTGAGAAAAAAGCCTGGAGGAAAAAAAACAAATACATCAGAATGTGCTTTTGGGCTTATCGAGTTGTTCCCTCCAGAAATATTACTGTTCAAGATTACAAAAATATCTATCTACTTGGTGTATTTTTTTTTTTACCTACTGACAAATAACACTGCTGGATAATGAAGTATGGATTTCCACTGCAGGATTTCATGAAGAATATGCTTTTTCTTAAAAAGTGCATTGAAAAAAACAACAGCTCCTTCTGCTTGCTGTGTATTTGTGTTGCTGACATCACAAGAAGCACAATATCCGAGCTTTTCAGCTGGCATGGTAAACATTTTGGCAGACAAACAACTTCTCACAGATTCTGAAACGGGTTCTCCAGTATTTAAGTTTTTGCTTTAGTTGCAAAAGGTTCAACCTCACATGTTTGTGGAAGAATTTGACACTGATGACTCGCAATTCCCATGATGAAGTCACAATAAAGTAAACTGTCTTCAAGACTAACTGGTACACATCTGTTGTTTAGCTTATCTCTTTGGTATTAACCCTCAACATGATCCCCTCATACACATGTTTGATCAATAATCATATAAAAGATAAGATTGTATGTGCTGAAATGTGGCCAAAACATGAAATATGATTAAATAGGAAAGCAAAACCTCTATACACTTACACATATTTCACTATTTTCACATTTTTCCCAACACAAAGACATAAATTACAAATAAAAAAATAAAAAACTCCACTGCATTGCACCTTGTGACGTAATGTGGAAGCTTGTTACTGGAAAGGTAAGTTAAACTTTGACAAAATAAACATTTACAACTAAATTAAAAAATAAAACAGAAAAATCTGAGCATCCCATCATGTTACACAAGTGAGAAACTACATATAAGGTAACTTACAGAGCATTTTAGAGCTGTCCGGTGCTGAATTGACTGCCTTTACCACTACACATATCTGTTGAAGCTGACACTAACTTTTCTTCCTGAAAACACAAAATTATTAACCTGAGCACAACCAAATTTTGACAGAATAAACAAAACATGTGGCCAACTTTATGAATGAAACACATCTGAATTGATCATATTCAGCAGTAAAATTGCAGAATGAGGAATTTCACTAAAATGGGGGAAAACAAGAACAACTAAATATTTGTAATCAGAAAAACTGTTATTAATTTTTCTGGTGAGATGTTACTATGCGCATGTGCATATAGAAATTTAGTTTTTAAAATCTGTGTTTTAAATTGAATTACAAAAATTATAGCTAAATATATACAAAACATCCATTAAATGATAATCTAAAGGTAACAAACTGTATCTAAAGTGAGTTACTAAAATGTTGAAGTGTCCAGAGCTGGAAAAATCTGACATCCTCACCATGAGTATCTTGTAAAATTTTCACTGACTTTACTTCCCTAAAGAAAAAAAGTATTCACAACTATTTAACTTTTTCACATTTTGTCAGATTATAACCTCAACGTTCTGTGTATTTTCTGAGATTTTTATGGGACAGATCAACAAAATAAAGTGTGTAACCATGAAGGAAGAAAAGGGAGACACAGTTTGGATTTTTTTCAAACAAATAAAACCATGTGGTGTGTTAACCTATGGTCCGAAGATGGAGCCTGGGTTGGCAATTGCAAGCCAACCCAGACATGACCATCTTCTAAAACAAACTCATGGTAACTCTGAAGGAGCTGGGGAGATCCACGGCTCAGGGTGGAGAATCTACTGATTACCTATTGATTGTGTCTTTAAGAAAGAGTGGCAGGTTGCTTTTAGAAATGCTGTAAGAAGTTATGTTTGCCTTTAGTTCTGTTAGACACACAGCCAACATGGAAGAAGTGACTCTGGTTCAATGAGATCGAATTGAACCATGTTGTGTGTTTTTTTTTTTGTTGTTTTTTGGCAAACATACAAATGTAGGGTATTACATTGTGTGTGTTATTGAAAAGAAAGAGTCTGAAAGCACCATTACCTTGTGGAAACAAGGTGTTGGTAGCATCATGCTGTGTGCTGCTACAGACAATGACCCAGTTCATACAGCTGGAGCTGAAACTGGACAGTTCAGATGTGTTAGAAAGGGTCAAGTCCAGAATCAAATTCAGTTTGGAAGCTGTGGCAAAAAATAAAAAAATAAATAATAAAAAAATAATAACAAAAAAGGTCCATTGCATCAAATCCACATAAAACCATTAAAGTGAGTGGCCGTAGCATAAAAAATACGTGAATGTTTGAGAGGCATAGTCACTTCTTCATGTTTGTCTGTGAATGGGAAACCAGGACGGCCCAGAGGAGTCATCGCCAGAGGAAATGGGCTTTATGAATGAACCCACCGGTGGACGTGGAGGTTCTTACACTCCTCAGCACACCTGCTGGTCCCCTGCCCTTTCAAACTGCATCAATGTGTGACAGCCACGACCAAGAGCACTGGGGTCTGCACCCATTGTGTGCGCTGGAGAATTGCATAACCGCCACAGTGCGTATGTATGAGCCGTGCATTGGCGGGGAAAGGCAATGTGTGAGAGCGAAAGCACATGTAGCAGAAAGCACATACCGTCCACCAGCTCGGCTCCTTGTACTGCACCACTGCATGAGAGTGAAATGAGAGCGCGAAAACAAAATGCATAGGGCAATAAACATCCAACGGGCCTGTGCGAGGCACGAGTACACGCGCACCCACACGCACACGCACGCACTCACGCAGGAAGATCAATCTTTAAATAACCGAGGATGTGATGATGACACTCAACAGCATCATAGCCGACGTGCATGAATCGCGAGCCTACTATGGTCCATGCCAAGTGAGACTGCCGCAGCGACTGTATACGCGGACCCAGCGTTGGCACCAACACTCTCCATATATTTCGCAATGTGCGCTTTCTGTGTGCACAAGTATGATGTTTGTAGCCCTCATCGACGATCATTCGCTTCTTGGAGGCATCAGTTGTGTTGGTGCAGTGTGAGCGGCGTGAAGCCACCGCACCGTTAAAAACCTGCCTGAACCGACCCCGAGACGCCGACTACTCATTCAATCGGCATTTAACCGGATGGCATGACATTCCCATACCTTCCTTGCCTTGGTTGATGTCGCGTTGTCAAGTGAGAGGGTGGGCTCGGCTTTGTATTTGTCCGCCTCAGTGAGCTGGTTGTTGTTTTCCTCCGTTCCAGGCGAGCCTCTCCGGTTCCCAGCGACTATTTTCCACGAGTTGTTCCACGTTACTGGGATGGATCCCAGCGGGTAAACGGTGTTATCAATAACCGGGGACCCATGCAACGTGAGGCGCGCTGGGGGTTTTTAGGGGGGAGGCGGGGATTGGGGAGGGAGCTGTCTCCTTCCCAGTGCTGAATTGACGTCACGGAAGTTAGAGCTGCGCCGCAAGAGGGCGTCGGGAGCCAAAACACAGAAGAGTCCATACAGGGAATTATTTTTCTTTTATTCCAACTGCAAAATGTGACAAACAATCAACATTCCCTCCATTGATTTTTACCCTTGAGCTTCAGCTGATGGTTCGAGGATAGGAGCATGCGCACTGAAGCTGCTGCCGCTTTTGCAGCTGCTGATGTGCCATCCAGCAAGTCACACTTTAAACAGAGATGCTGGTGCTTCACCAACTATAATTTCTGCCTCCATCGCTGAGGAGGAAAACTGCATCATTATCTCCATGTAAATAAGATGGACAAATACTTGAGATGTGGATGACTTTATGACCCTTTACAATATAATAATAATAATAATCTATAGAAGAAGACAGTGATTAGATTCAGCTCAAAAACATTCTACATGAAGAATTCAACAAAAATAAAAAGAAAGCTAAATATAGTTCTAAAAATCAAAACGTATGTTATTAGATTTTTTTTTAAAGATAAGATTATATTAGGTTATTGATCATACCAAGAAACAAAAAATAAATTCAATACCCACAACAGAAAACAGCTAAATGGGGACAAAAATAAGAAAGTAGATGTGATCAGTATGTAGAATTTAGCATGTTAAAGTACATTAAAAATCAATATCCTTACATTAGAACTTGGTATTTTGGCAGCATTTTGCTTACAGTTTAATTGTTATTGCTCATTACATCAATTTCAATTTAAAAATCAAGAAAACATCAACCAATGTAATTTCTGGACACTCACATAGAACTTTATATTCTGATTTTTTGTGGTAGTGCATACAGTATAATTTTTGCCGCTATTTTATTTATTGAAACACTCTGTTCTGATTTTTAAGCCAGTGCTGAATAGTGATCCTATCGGTTCATTCATCAAATCTCTCCAAAAGTTTTTCGTTTCTCTTGTTTTGTGAAAGTTTGTCTGCAATACCACATTGTGTCCAGAGGGGGGTAGCATCCCGCGTTTTTGTTTTTTTCCTTTTTTACTTCTGTGTCATTTAGAAAACCTGCGCGTTTCTTTTTTCCCTTCAGAGTTGCCGTAGCTGAGCACGGCGGGATCAACTGAATGGATAACAACGTAGCATGTGCTACCAAACTGTTTTTAAGATCCACTAAATAATATTTAACCAGACGGCTGGGAGAGCTCACAGCACAAGGAAACTTTTACAGCTCAGAATCTATTATTTCTAAAACGAGCATTGTTAAATTAAGTGTTAATTTGGGAACATATTTAGCTAGCTAGCTGAGCGTGTCAGCTGTAAAATACTAAGTCTGGCTAAGTTAAACTCTCTGTGTTTGGTGGTTCACGGTGTTTCTCGGGGGTCTAAAAGGAAGATTTGACCGGGGTGAAGATGTGCTCTCTGGCTCTGTTCCCCCCGCCACTGTCCCCCGGACAAACCACCCTGTGCGAGTCCAACAACGAGCTTCTTTCTGGAGCCAACAACTCCGAGGCGAGACGGGTCCGATTGATTTTGGTTATCATCGCAGTTGTATCCACAGCCATTCAGATAGATCACGGTGCATGTTTTCGTGCAGGACTCCAGTCCGCTGAGTCTCCATTTCCCCAGAGAGTCGCTGAAGCTCCACAGCCGCACAGAAAGCAGCAGCAAAGCAGCTTTCCTGGACCACTCGGAAACTCTGTGGACGAGGAGCGCTGCTGCGTGGTAGGAAAATAAAGACATGTTGTTATTTTATCCATCTGTGATATAACAGCTCGATGTGTGCAATCTCTGGAGGATTTAGACCCTTAGCCTGGCTGATAGTCCCTAAACTCTCCTAAAATGTCCAAATCAAGCATTTCCCTCGAGAAAAAGAGGTCAGAAGAATAAACCTGGGAGGATTTTCTGTAATAGATCAGCTTTCCAGGTACTTACTGAACTCTGCTCTCTTTAGGTATGTCTGAGAACAGGCTACATTCTCCTGAAGGAAAAACAGATTTGTTTTAAAGTCTTTACTTTTTTTTCTTCATCCTAATTTGTAAACATCTCGCTCAAACTAAGAAAGACAAACGTTGCATTGTCTTTCTGCTTCCTCAGCAACTGTCTCCAATGAACGGGATTACTTGCTTCTGTCCATCTATCTGAATGTAAAGCTTGTATAAAATTATTTCACACCACACAGAAGTATTTCAAGCGTTTTTTTCTCATTGCAATTTTGATACTTATGACTTACAGATGCTTATAACCAGAACTCAGTGTTTCAAAAAGTAACTATTACAGATCAATAAAAAATATATATATATTTTTAAGGCTTCTGAAAAGTATGTTAGTTTCAATGCCCTCAATACTTGGTTGGTTTTTCTTTTCAGTGAATTACTGGATCAGTGTGGTGTGGCATGGATGTGGTTCTGCTGAGGCGTATTAGATGTCTAAGGTGCTTTGATAGCTGCATTCAGGTCATCTGCTTTGTTGAATCTGATGTCTCTCAACAAGCATCAATTCTCTGTGGAGTTTTATATCCGGAGAGTTAACTGGTTAATCAAACACACCAACACCAGCCACTGAATCGACTTTTGATTCAGTGGTTGGTGAATCGACTTTTGATTCAGTGGTTGGTGTTAAGTCCTGCAGGAAAATGAAATCAGCATCTTCACAAAGCTTGTCAGTAGAAGGAAGCATGAACTGCTCTAAAATTTACCCAAGTTGTGAGCTGTCCTTGGTTTGACTTCTAGATTTGACTTCCAGAAAAATTTGCATAATTTATTTACTTTATCTTCTTTCAAACAAGAAGACATAAAAACTAGGCTTAGTTTACCTGTTAAAGTTATTAGTTATGCTAAAGGTATGATCACATGTTTTTACAACCGTTTTCAAGGCGAAATCATCTCGGCATGTTTGCATGTTTCAATAGTATGAAGTTCTGCTTTAAGCACAAGTGCTTTACTCATTGACCTCTCATTTCCTTCAGGATTCTGTAAATCTTAAGTTTTTATGAACTATCTTTGAGGTCTAAAAATATTTTGCACAAAATTGACAGTTAAATATGTTTTTAGCATTTTCTGACATTTTAGATTAAGTTTTTCTTCTTAAACATATTGAGAACTTGCAGATCTTCTGCCCTCTTTCAAAGCTGACATCACCATATGAGCTCATGCTGTCAGTTAAAGCTCCAAAAGAGCCATAAATGGGTGAAAAGGGCTCACACTTCCATTAAATCTCAACAGCTAAATGAAAGGATACAGCTGCCTCTCATAGTCATGTAAATCAGCTTGACGTGCGAGGCAACTTTTAGCACATTTCCTACCCCTGATGTAGCAGCTTATGTCCGTGTTTTACAGCCTTTATTGGACCGTCAAAGATCGCTAATTAGTTCTGTTTGTTCCAGGCGGGACGGTGGGTTCACTGGGCTGCTCAATGAAATTACAACCTCACATGCAGAAGGTATGGAAAGCACCAAAATCTCATGAGTTTTATTGAGTCTTAAGTCCTGCTGCAAGGTGCCAATTCTCCTCCTTAACAGTGCCAAAGTGGCTGTCGGTGACGTCCGGATGTATCTTGGCGTTGCTCCGATGGGTCTCCTCCTTTCACGGCTCCCTGTATCCTCACGTCACAGTAAGCTGCTCCTGTTAGCTCATTTGAAATACAAAGCACGTGGAGTAATGCTGAAGTTTTTTATTTTATTTTAGCTGAGCAGTGAGGACATGATTGCTGAGTTTTCTCAAGTGCTAAACTGGTAAGAGGGGTTTTTGTGTTCTATTCTTTTATATTTTTAAAGGATAACAATGTGAAACTGTAATCTTTCTGTTTTGTTGTACTTAGTGAAGTTGTTCCCTTTCTGTGTTGCCAGGTCTGATTGTGTGGTGCGAGCCTTCGCCTGGCATCCACACACTGACAAGTTTGCTGTCGCTTTGTTAGACGACTCCATCAAGATCTACAACCCCAAAAGGTACCAGAACTACGGACTCAGCGGTGCCAAAACGGCAGCAAAAGATCCAGCCAGTCAGATTTCCAACCAGCACAGTTTTAGTTTTAAAACTTTTCGGCTCTCATTACCAAAACAGCATACATACTGCATATGATTTTCATGCAGGCATTTTACATTGAAGGGCGACTTAAATGGTGAAAAAAGGGGAAATTGATCAAATTTGTGATCAATCACGACACACAGGCCTCTAATATTCTAAGTTTTACTTGGTTCAGAAATGTTTTCCTGAGATGGAGTCATTACATTTTCAAACGCTCTTCCTGTGTTTAGGATTCAGCATTTATCTAAATGACTGACGATGAAGTGATGTTTTCAATTGGCATATGTGTAAAACTGAAGCTCGTGCCTCTGGTTTCTGAGTAAATCTGAGACATTTTTGTCACACTTCTGTAAAAATGAACAAATCTTCCTCAGTGCCATCACTCCTACACTGAAGCATCGTCTGCAGAGGAACGTTGCAGCCGTGCAGTGGAAGCCTTTGTGTGCGTCTGCGCTGGCGGTGGCGTGTCAGAACTGCTTGCTGGTGTGGAACGTCGACCCCTGCTCTCTGTCTACAAGGTACGACACACCAAGAACATCTGCGAAGTCAAAGTAGAACCCACACAGTTATTATTAATTCAACTGAAATATTTTATGCCAGATGTAAAGCTTTGATGTCGAGCGGTTTTGTAAGTTTCTGTGGCTTCCCATGGAAAGTGTTTGCTGAATGTTGATACGATTGTATGTGGAAGAAAAGATGTTTGCACAGATTGTAATGCAAATGATGATTTTGTGACAGGTTGGTTTATAAGATTTGAGTTAGCCAGAGGAAATTTCATGTGTATTTTTAAAGGAAACGCCTCAGACATAATGCTCATTAGATGTTATCAATGCTTATTCTCCTAATTTCAGTTTTTGACACCCTCTTTGCAGGCCTTCTTCTGGCTGTGCTCAGGTTCTGTCCCACCCCGGTCACTCCCCGGTCACGTCCATCGCCT